TGAATCTTGTGCTGTTCCCTTATGCAGTGCGTGCACCCAGAGGTTCATTCCCATTACCTCCTCTTCAATGGCAGCAAAAGCAGAAATCCCCAACCATCCTTCTCTGCTTGCTTCTTCCTTGCCCAGCTGTGTTTTACCTTAATCTCCTGCAAGGGCTTGTGTGTACCAAATGTGCGTGGGCTGGATGAAGTGGGCTGTATCTACAACTGAACAGAGGTCATGGGCAGAGGGCAAAACAGGTAGTTCAAGGATTTGTAGGTGCCATTACAGGGATTATGTGTGGAGAGGAGTTGATGTTGCACCTTGTGTCTGTTGAACAGAAACACTGCAAAAGGCTGAGGGGATAGGTGCCATAAGCAGCAGAGGTTCTTACAGACTGCTCACTTGGGTGTTTCTGCTTGTCTGTTATTCAGTTTGGATTCTGCCTATCTGGGCCTCTTTTCCTGCCTGTTTATTGCCAATATTTCCATCTCCTTGCCTCTGGAGGTATGTGCTGCTTTTTCTCCAGCTGAAGCTTGCATCTCCCATTTCATTATGATGTAAAAGACATTAATTGTGCTGTATTTTGTGCACATGCTCTAGTATGCAGGAAATACTTTGTCATTTGTGAGGTGCTAACTCTGCCTGACTCAGCAGTACACCTCAGGGCCCTGGGCTTTCTATGTAGCCAGCAGGGAAGGTGGTGGGCTCTCAGCTTGGGCACTCAGCATCACGCTCTGGAGATGGTATCTCCTCTGCGAGCACTGGCTCCTAATTTAGGCACCCGAGTTAACACAAGTTGATGAGCCCTTTTGCTTACTGTATAGACCTGCTGTTTGGTTCTTCTCACTTCCTGGCAGTGCAAAAGGGCAGGAGTTATAATCAGCACTCAGTGAATCACTTCATTCCTCTGATAATTATTTCTCTCATATAGAAAGAAATGATGCATTTCCCTGCTTTCTGGCATTTATAGAGAAGTGTCTGCCTGCATTTTTTTTTCCCCCTCAGCCTTACTTTTCACTCCTTTCTCAGCATGAGACAGGCTTGCTGAGTCTGCCTCTGCTTCCCATTTGCCACGTGTGAGAGGCTGAGCAGAGGAACATTGTGTGCTGCCTCAGGACTCAGTGGGGCTGACTCGCAGAGCATCACGGAGTGAGGAATTAAAACCGCTGGAGGAAACTCATTGATGCTTAAGCTCAAGGCACTGCATTCCTCAGGACTTTTCCAAAGATCACTGGTTATTTGATATTGTTTTTTCTTTCTTTCCCCTGTGGACCAATCATTAAATTGCCTGTGAGATCTCCTGAAGATAAATGTCGTGTAGATAAATGTCCTGTGTTAACTCATCATTTCGGTACGTAAAATGCAAGAGAATGGGAAACTCGAAAAACATGCTTGTAAAAGGAACTGATCCAGAAGCAGGGATGGTGATTAGAGACAATATTTGCCAAAGACTTGCTATTTCATATGACCATATGCATTCTGGGGGTCTGATTCAGCTTCTTTTGAAGTCAGTGATAGTCTGCTGTTGTCTTGTGTGGCAGTTGGATCAGCCTCATTAAGAAATCCTGGCCTCTGTAGTGCATAATGTTTGTCCTTTTGGCTTCCAATAGAGACATCCATATGGAAGGAACAAGATTGTTTCCTTGCTCTTTCATTGTAAATGTGTTTTCCTTTTGCAGCAAATCCAAATTAATGCAAAAACACTGCAGCTTGCAGATTGTGAACATTCCTTGCCAGGGTCTTGGGACTAGAGAAGTGATGGTGTTGAGGAGAAATGCAGAGATCAAAGCTGTAAACCTCTGAGCCAGCCCAGCTATATGGAAACTTTTCTCATTTTTGTGCTGCAGCAGTAGCAGCAGTTCATCCCCAGAGCCTCCCTCCGGTGTGGGACCCACACCTGCTGGTGGCCACCAGTTCCAGGTCTTTCTCCCATGGAAGGGAGTCCCTGTGCAGTCAGGTGAGGTTAAATGCTGCTCTAAGGCAGTCCAGCGTATCTTCCCATATATTTTAACTTACTTGACATCTTGGGTTTCTTGCCAGTCCGTCTGGGCTGCCTTATGCTTTTTTTGCATATCTGGTCTTTTGTGTCTCATCTACCAGGGAGAGGATATATACTAAACAACGGTGTTTGTCTAAGGTTTGAAAATTGCTGAATACTTAGGCAAATAAATTATGTCTTCTAGTTCACTGACTGAACCAGATTCTTGGTTCAAATGCCAAATCAGCAAAACTAGGTTGTTGCAGATTGATCAGACTATTCCATTAATCAGAGATTTGGTGTGGAAGTAGGTTACTCTTTTAAAAAAAAGAGTAGGTGAGGCACATTTGGTCTCAAGGCATCGTTTTAAAATGGAAAAAAAAAAAAACCAAACCCACCTCTGAAATAATTTTTAAGGAAATGAGAAAAATAAACATGTTCTTAAATATCAAACCAGTCATCTAAAGAAGCTCTCTCAGCTCTAGGGAAAGGGTTAAAATCCCTGTGGTGTCTCCACTGACCTCCACATTACACTGAAGAGGAATTTGGCCCAAGTTTTCTTTTGGTAGAGAATCTGAGTCAGAAAAACAGCCTCTGCTCATGGTTCCTTGCTCCTCCCTCTTCTCTCGTCCAAGACTTCTCTGGGCCTGTTTCTATACTTAATATTTTAGGTCAACATTAGTAATGTCGAGTTTAACTCAGTATCATTAAATTCAAGCAATTCTGTTTTACATTGTGTCTTGGAAAAGAGGATCACCCTACAACTTTTAAATGCTTTAGATTTAAAAAAGGGTTCTTTTCAACCGATGGGCTTGTTTCTTCTCAGAAGTTTGGGTATTATGCAGACTAATGTAATAACATTTGTTTTCAAAAGGAAGGATATGTTTAAGCACTGTCTCATCTAGCTGCTTATTTTGAAATCTATTAATCCATTCTCAAATGCTTGCTGACCTATACTTGACTTGGGCTTACAAGAAATTTTATTATGCTAGTACAGTCCAGTTAACTGTAAGTAACAGCATTTTGCAAAGTTGACTATTTATTGTTGTTATGATTATTATATCTACAGCTCTACAGTTTACAAGTAAGAGAATTAGTGTGCAGTATCTATTTATTTTTCTTCCTACAGAAGGAATCAATCAATTCCATAGTCCTCCCAGGACATTTGTAGCTTTAATATTTTTAAGGAATATTTGTTGCTTAAGATTTATCCTGTTCATTGCATTCATCAAAAGGTCTTTCTTCTAAGTACCCCATGCACCTGAAGGTGTTCTTTCCATGTGGCATGCGGATTGACTATGATGATAGTGCAGCTTCTAGAATCAGATTCCCTCTGGATGAAATAATAAGCTGTGACTGCCAATTCAAACATTCTTCAAGAACAGCAGTTGTTCAGGCTTCTAATTAAAACAAAGCTAAAACATTCACTCTTGTGCTTATATTTGACTAGAAATCTTAGTATGATGCACTACCGAAGAAAAATTTTATTTGTATTGTGAATATATGAACTTGCTAAGCAAAAGCTCTTATCACTATAATTGATAAATCAAGCAGTCTCACGCTTCCAGGCCTAACAATAAAGTAGAAAGCACAAACTGCTTTTGTCTTCTTTTGTGCAATAAGGAAGAGTAATATTCTGTCTAGAACAAAAATCTTGGTAGTCAAATAAACTGGGTATTAATCCAGGCCTTGCTTTCATTGAAAACACCTATGCATCAACTGTAATTTCTGTAAAAGCAGTGAATATTTTCTGTAACAATGTGAATAATAAACCATGCTATAGCATTCTGTCCTCAGTTCTTAATTGACAAGTATGTAGTAAAATCTGATTTTCTTATATTTAATAGCTTGTATTGCAATATATTTATACTAAAACCCTGTGTTTTAGAGTTATCTTTAGATATAAAGCCAAAAGCAAGTTGGTTCAAAAGCTTTGAACTTCATGCATGTTTAAAGTTTCTGCAAATTCAAGTCTTGAATTTGAGTAGATCGCTTTTTGGGGGTGATTTGCTGTGTAAGATGATTGGAAAACTGGAAGGACTCTGTGTTCAGAAAACCTGAAGTTCTAAACCAGTTGCTGATTATGAACTGTCTGAAGAAATGGATGCAAAATGTTCATTTTACTGATGGTACTCATTCACGTTCATGGTTCTTAGTTTAGTGAATAGGTTTAGAGAGTTCAGGAGTTCTGAGAAGATGGTGGGTTATTCCACTGGTCTTTAGGCTGTCAAAAGGTATTGGATCTCACTTAAATCTGGACTAGAAATTTTGGTTCTGATTTTCAGATGCTAAAATTTCAAAGATTGCAGTCTACTTTTTGATGCAGATTTCATTTATGTCATATTTAGTGGTTAAGTGTTCGAGCCTTTATATATTATTGGCAGGATAAGTTTCCTTCTGGGAGATATTAATTGTACATAAATTGAAATGAATAGCTGTTTAATTAGAAAGCAAGACGTGTTTTAAAGAACACTTTGAGGGTGCTGTATGGTCAGGGCAGAAATGCTTCCCTCATCTTTACATTTCCTATCTTCTCTCTTGGCACTGCTGAGGTGAAGTGTTTATTCTTTCTTTGCCTTCTCTCAGGGGAAGAAGAAAGTGAAGGTAGCATCAAATAAAAGTTGTCTTGTTGTGTGTAAGGGTGGTATCTTGAGAACAGTTATTTATTGCTATTCATTTCACCCTATGAGTGGCTGCTATAGATTTATAAAATCTACTGATACACTTTAAAGTAGTTATGTGCCTTAGCTTTTATATATCAATAAATTTTCCACAGCTGCAGATGCTCAGATGCATGTCTTGTGAAATCTTTGCATTTTATTTAAAAAAAAGGCAGTTAAACCCAAAGAAACTTGTCGACCTCATAGCCAAGTTCTCCTCCAAATACTTCCAGCTGCAGCTAGAGGGATGAGTCATGCTGAAAGCCGAGGAGCTCTTCTAAAAGCCTTTCACTTGGTTCACATGATTTTTTTTTTTTAACTTTACATTCCTGTCTGTTTTTCTTTTCTTGAAAAAAAATAAAAAAACCAAAACCATGAAGGCGAGTCACCCAAGGAAAACCCGTACGAGGATGTGGAGCTGAAAGGCCGTCACGCGGGCCGAAAATCCCATCAGCTCTCCGAGAATTCCCTAGATTCTTTGCACAGGATGTGGACGCCGCAGGACAGGAAATACACATCACCTTCCCAGGTAACGGCGTGACAGCACCGGTCTGTCTGTGCTTGAAGCTTATTTAAAACTTTTGCAAGAAAATCAATCATGGCATAAGAGGAAGAGCAGCTGTACTGAATGAGAAAAGGGTATATGGAAAAGAGCGCGCTCAAATGCACGAGTCGTTACTGGGAACGCTCTCGGCAGCTGTAGCTCAGCTTCTCAGCGCTGCGCTGCAGAAGCCGATGCCTCTTTGTGCTGACTACAGCCTGATGAGTATAAGCAGAATCCTTCCACTGGTTGGTTGTGAGCTGAATCTGGCCCTAAATTATTTGTATTGCTGCGTGTCTTTGTGACATGCATGCCTCCGTGTTTGCTGCTGGGCTTTTAGTAGGGATAGGAGGGAAAAAGTCAGCTGCTTAATCTTGCCCTTGTATTGTTACACGAGGCCTATAGCAGCTTTGTGAAGTATGTAGTGTGGCATGTTTTATTATAAAATGGAGAAGGCCAAGTATGCCCTCCCAATAAATAAATGAATAATAAAATAATCAGAAAAACCTGAGTGTCTGCATTTAATGAGGCTGTATAAGTCGTGTTTATAGCATAACGTAAAAGACCAGGAACTCTGCAGACTTTCTGTTTTATAGTGAATTTTCCAAAGCAGTCTGTTTTTTGTGAACACTATGAAATGCCAGGTTGCTTTGTTGTTTATGGGATCATTGTGTTCATAAGCAAAAGTATAAATTTCATCACATACTTAATTTTGAGATTCAAAACACCTTTTAAAGGCACTTTGTTTTGCACTGAACCCACAGAAAATTTGCAGTTGAACAAAACTTCACAATAATTCACATTTTCATCTTGTAAAGACATCTAGAACAAAGTTGAATATATTTTCTTTCACTTATTTTGCGTGCATGTGAGCATCACAGTCCAAGAGACAGAAGAACTATCATCAGGATTCTTAGTTGCACCTAGCACATCATTTGAAAACAGGAATGTTTTCAGCAAAGCTGCTGAAAAGGGAACAAGTGGAAAGTAGTAATCGGGCAGAGTGAAGAGAATCGGAAACTGCAGCCACGAAGATAACCTCGTAGTGAGAGACATACTATACATACCACTTATTTTTGGCTCTGTGTGTGTTAAGAGGAATTGTGTTCATCTAAAAATCCAGGAGGGTGTACCATTAAGGTAGGAATCATATAGGTCCATAGTAAGATCCTGGCTGTTCTCTGTTTTACACAGGGTGACCAAAGAATATACAGATTAAAATGACTTCTGTAGGGTTGCTCAGTAAATAAGTATTCTCTGGTATCTTTGCAACAGGGCTGTCTTTATTCTGGTAGCTTCTTTCTGAAACGCTGCCAGGAGTCAGTCCTGCCATAACTGCGCTGTCATTGTGCTGATATTTAAAGCAAAGAGGCACTAAGAGCAGGTCAGCTGTGGGCTTGGGTAATTCTCCAATGACCAGAAATAGAAAAGTCTCAATTTTCTGAAGAATAGCAGCTTTGGCAACGATTTATCACCCAGTTTTTCCATCATAGCAACATAGCTGGATTAGCAACATGACTTTTCAGTCATGGATGATGATAAACAAGATGGAAGAGATCAGAAGGTCAGCAGACTTTCAACAATCATCTCCAAAAAGAATTCATTTCATTAAAGTATAGACTGCTGCAGATTTTCCTGGCATGCTAACCTGTGGTAAGCAGAGACCTCAGAAACACTGGTCATTTTGAATTCCATGTGTCTTCTCCTTTCCCATTTGTTATTTTCCCTTTTGGAAGTCATCAGATATAAAAAGAATGTTTTATTGATGACATTGTATTTGTGATGCAAAACCCACACATACACACAAGCACCTATTCCAGATAGTATGGCCCTGTAATAGGTAAGCCCTCCAAGTAGAACAAATGGGACGTTTACTATTGCAGGTTTATAGCTTGTAATACTGCTGATAGAATATTAGTAAAGGCCAATAGACAGTTGTTTGACATAATAGTACTTTTTTCTAGACATGCTGGTTAAACTTCTTACGGTGTTTGTGTTTGAGAGGAGGAGGCAGGGACCCAGCCTTACCAGCCTGCTGATTAACCTTCTGAGAGCTGGGCAAAGCTGCTTGAAGGACCAAAAGAGCCCCATTTTTTTAAAGATAGCTGTTACTTGGTGCTTAATCCTGTCAGTGAGTTTTTACCTTCCCCCTGCAATGATAACGATTTCATGTTTTAAAGGGAATGCTTTGGGAATGCAGGACAAAGCTGTAAACACGCCTCTGCACACTGGTAGATCTTAAAACATCTTAACGCCATGGAAGTAGTGCAGGCTTGATTTTCTACTTTTTTTTCTAGGATAAAACAGCAACTTCAATGTAGTTGCTCTTAATTTTCACTACTGCAAGTGAAAGAGATGGATCAGGCCCCTTGGGTCAGTGTTCTGATGTCAGCCAGCCCTTTAAGTTAGGTTTGAAGATGTAGGTGCATGGAAATGCACCAAAGCTAAAAGTACTATTGTTTTCTTTGAACCTTAAAGCCTTAGCTAGTGACCCCTGTCCCTTTGTTTTAACTTCAAACCCTCTCTTCGCACGTATCCCGCAGAGCAGGGGCTCACCTGGTGTGATGTCCTTGTGTAGCCACCACTCACTCACAAAGCGCTGACTGCACTGTGTTGCTGAAGAGGGGAGGAGCTCAAGCTGTTCTTGTTCCTGCAGCTACCTTCGAAGCCCAGCAGCCAGTCTCTGCGCATCGGGAACTGGTCAGAAAGGAAGAGCCACCGCTTGCCACGGCTGCCCAAGCGGCACAGCCATGACGACATGCTGCTGCTGGCTCAGCTTGGCATTCCCTCCTCCCCTTCCAGCCTCAATGAGGACAGCCTGAGCACCACAAGTGAGCTGCTGTCTACACGGCGGGCCAGGAGGATCCCAAAGGTACTGGCAGGGTGACGGGGCTCATGCTGAGGATAGGTCACCTATCTGCAAGAGCCTGCAAATTTCTATCCAACCTTCAGCGGGATCTTTCTGTATCCTAAAGGAAAATTGAGATTTGAAACAAACAGTAACTCTCAGGAGCCAAGACTTACTCCTTTTTCACATACAGCTGTACTGTCAAAATCCCTTCCCTAGAAGTGGGTAACTCTGCCCTGGTCCAAGAGCAGTGAACATCAGATTGCCATCTTTGCACAGAGTGGATTTTAACCCAGTTCTGTTTTTCACACTTTTCTTTAAGCTCTGTGGGCCAGAGCATTGTTGTATACTTACCTTTAGCATTTTGAATGCGTGATGGCCAAGCAATTATTTCTAACATGCGGCAGCACCTGAAGTGGGTTTTTTTCCCCATCATTTGTTTACCTATCTCAGGAAAATAACTGTTACTGGACTAATATGTTTCCCGTCATTTACTCACAACCTACCCCATCCTGAAAACCCTGTTGTCTTGATGGATTTGAAGTAAAAATTAATTTTCCATTTTTCAAGGCGTTTTCAAATTCGAAATGAGATGTGACAAAACCCCAAGCTACCAAAAAACAAGAACTCCAGCAAATCTTTCCTGGTACATTAGCAACAGAGAGGGGGAGAACTGCCAATATATTTATTTTTGGCTTGTGAACAAAGTTGATTTTTACTGTACATTCAGCTCTTTCCTGTTCTTATTAGAGAGCATATTTTAAAGGACATGGCTGTAAATACTGTCAGTAGCAGGAGATTTTTATGTTCCTGTCAATTAGTCTGAAATTCTGTCTAAGCAGGAAACAAACAAAAGGAAGAAATTAATCCTTAATATTTACTATATTTACTATATTTTACTAACCAGCTTCAGGTGGTTCACTTCGTACCTGAAAAAGGCTTTAAAAAGCCCGGGCTATCTCCTTCAGTGCTTATATGAGCACACTAATTCAGAGAGGTGCTAACACAGGGGTTAACTTCTATATTCAGTGTGATCTTAAGATTCATGAGAATTTGGAAAAGTTGGATATAACTAATGGATCACTGTTACTTAGACAATGAAAGTGAAGAGAGAAACGATAGCAAAGAGAGAGAGAGGAATGAGGTAGTAGAGGATAACAGCTACATTTGAATCCTCAGGCTCATTGTGCTTTTATTGCAAATGTCTATGAGATTTTTGAAAATAGAAATCAGGTTTCTGAGTTATTTAATAATTTTTAAAAATATGTCCATAGGTAAAGGAGTGAGATTAAAAATAAGTGATTCAAACAAATGGGATTGAAAATGAGAGAGATAAGAAATGCCCTTTGAAATAGTAGAGGCTTGGGGGGGTTCAGCTGGCCTATCATCCGTGGTCAAATTCTTTGTTTGGAGAGATTTATTAAGTGTTTGGTTTTACTGATTCCTCATTTTCTTATTTTACAGCTTGTACAAAGAATCAATTCCATCTACAGTGCAAAAAGAGGAAAAAAACGACTGAAGAAACTTTCTATGTCCAATATTGAGACAGCATCCCTACGAGGTATGTCACAAACGTCATGGTTCAGTGAATCCATTTGAACGTTACAAGATTAACAGATTCCCTTCTTCCTCCACATCTACACCAGGCTCTACTTTATTTAGAATTTTCATCTATGAACAATGATAACTTTCTGTCTGCAAGAGGAGAAAATGGGGATGAGCTGAAAACAAATGGGATTGTCAGCATTGTCTATCCTGTTAATCCCATGATCAGCTAGACTTACCCAGCTGCTTCTGTAGTTCACTTCTTGAGTAATTTGCTGCAGTAAGTTTTGTCCAAAATTCACAGTTTTGACCTTGTAATTCATTCATGCTTTTTTCTGGCATGTGAATGTAACTCATACTATGCTTCAGACTGCTTCTGAAAAAGCAGGGGCCAAAAAGAAATTCAGGCCATGTTTGTAGTAGGAGCACAGTAGAGCTTTAATGAGAGTACCCCTCAGAAATGAGGTTGCCATAAGGTTAGTTTTACATGTTACTTACTCGGTTTGGTGAGTTCTGGTGATTGAAAATGTTGCCCGGACAGACAAAACTCATGAGGTTTACTTTGGTTTCTCTAGTGCTGCGTAACATTTTTTTTTTTTTTTAATTGAAGTCTGAAAAAGAAGGGCAAGGGTTAAAATCCATTTTCCAAATGACACATTCACCTCTGTAGCTCAGCATAGATGGGGGTTCAGTGCAACCAGTCGCTGTTATGGAGAATTAATTTTGCACTTGCATCAAAACAAAGCTCTTATTCTCAAGCAATATTGAAACTTAATCCAAGGAAAATGCAATATAAGAAGTCATTGAAACTGTTTATTTCAAGCTATTTTAAAACTGAGGAGAGAGCATGAGTGGATCACAGGCTGCGTGAGATATGGTTTTTCCTGATTTCACCATGGTAAACCGAGTTTGTTTGCTTTTGTTTTGTGTTAATTGATCCCTCTATCTCCTTTGCAGATGAGAACAGCGAGAGTGAGAGTGACTCAGATGACAGGTTTAAAGGTAAGGGATCAGCCTTCAATAACTTCTAGTCAGCCACTGTCACGGACCTTATCAACATCCATCCTCCTGCTACTGCGTGTTGTTCCTGTCCATGGCCTATATTTTCCATCCTGAACTATGCTAACTCCATTACTGCAGAGCTCACAAAGTTTCCAACACAGGAGCATGAATGTGGAAAGCAAGGACAAAATGAGCTGTGAGGATCTAACAAGGATTTGGCAACTGTGTCACATAATGAAGAACAGGACCTTTGATAGATTTGCTTTGTCAGCCACTTCACAGATGCTGATGTTTTCCAGACTGACTACTGGGTGCAAACTTAGAGGGATGAGATTGGATAAATATGCTCTCTTCTTCTTATTCATACGCTGCTTTAAGTGTTTACTGCTAGCTGCTGTTGGAGGCAAGATTCTGGGTCTGATCCAGCATAGCGGTTCTTATATTCTTTTATAAGTCTGCAGTCTCCAAATTGTAGAAATTCCTTTATCAGTGCACAGCACCTGCACAAACTCTGCTTGAGCCAGGCCAGTAAAAGTCCCTCATTTTCAAGAGTCCTGATACACAGAGAGGACTATAAAAGAGTTGAAGGCAGCAACAACAGATTTTATTACTAAAAACCTATCATGTTATTAGTGAGGTGAAAAAACCCCAAGAGTGCAGAGCTGTGGTTATAAGATAAGGGGCAACCATTCATGTCTGTCTACTGCAGATGTCACCTGCTTGTAGTTCATACAGGAAAACTAGCCGGAAAAAATTGTCTTAGAGAAAAAAATTTGTTCCAGATAGGAGGTGGTAAGACCACCCAAAACAGGCTGTATACAACATTGTACAGTGGTGTGTGGAAGAAGTCTCATCGCTCCTTTGTAGACAGGTACCAGCCCCAAAAGCACTTTCCGTTCTGTTTCTCTTTGTGTCAAAAAATGTAAGGGTTGCTTTTGCTCATGGACCACGAAAGAAGACAGACAGTGCCTGGCCTCTCTCGTTATTGGGAGGATATTCTGACTTCTCTGGAAGCTAGGAAGCTTTCTCCCCCATTGTGGAACGGAGGGTTTTCATTGTCCTGGCTCCCTAACCGACTGCTCCAGCGTGACCTTATATTTGCACTGATGCTCTCAGGGCATTCTGAGACAAGGATCCAGTTGTCAAGTGTAACATGACAGGATTCACTGGGTCCCCATCTGCTGGGGTGATGGGGACTCTTTGGTTTCACCTCTTGCAAATACGAAGCACTGGCCAGCAGTGTGGAGCTATCTCAAGGCAGGATGAGGCAGGTTATTTCTTGGGATTTAGCTTTCAAGACCCAAGTGCTTTATCAAAATAATTTTTAATTTCTGTGTTGTTGAACGAGTTGTATGACATCTGATCATCAAGGGGTTTCCCTTTCTGTCAATTACTTACCGCTGTGATCAAGTGCTTCTGACATCTTATTTCCCTGCCACGAGGGGCAGTCCGCCTTTTGCAAACTGTGAGCACTGTCAGTGAATACAGCCTTAAGGGATCGATATGTGCTGCTAATCATTCATTTAGTATCACACAGAGATCCTGGTGTGAAGAGGTGGGAAAAAGCATGAGGGAAGCTGGTTTTACTTAACTGTTTTCACTTACTGGTCTACCAGAACCGGTGATGATGTTACTGACCAGTCCAGCATAGGTGTTTATCAACAAGTTGCTGGATCAAGGCATATCTTTGAATAGGGGCTGGACATGACCATGAATCTAAGATTTCCCCTCAACTGGATTAGCACAAGCAAAGCAGTCCCACAGGAGGCAATTTATACCTCGTTACTTTCTTTCCCATTTCCTTGGAGATCCTTCCGTGGCTTGTACGGACTGTGCCTCTGCTGTAGAAGAAAGGAGAAAATACACCTTCAGTGACTCTTAGCTAAAGCTGTGCTACGTAGGGACGGGCCACAGAACTGTTTTTCACCAATATAAAGCAGGTCCAAGTCAGACACGAGATATGTCACCCTGGAGGCCCTAGTGCCTTTGCACGCCCACATAAGGTCTTATAATCCACTCTTATGTGCAAAGAAGAAGCAGACCTTTGGCATTGTAACAGTTATGAACTGCAAATTATTTCAGTGACTTAGTGTTGCATCACTTCAGTACTTGGAGAGAGTTTTGATTTATGGGTGCAATTAGTGAGGGAGACTACAATATGAATGTTTGCTTTTGAGAAGAGAACATGGTTGGAATAATATGCTGGCAAATGGAAAGTCCTTTGTGAATGACTGTGGCTTACACAAACACGCTCCAGTCCCAGGTAATGATCTGTCTTTTTTTTTCTTTTTAAATGCTAGCTCATACCCAGCGCCTAGTACACATCCAGTCGATGTTGAAGAGGGCTCCAAGTTATCGAACCCTGGAACTGGAGCTGATTGAATGGCAGGAACGGGAGTTATTCGAGTATTTTGTGGTAGTGTCACTGAAAAAGAAGCCCTCTAAAAATACTTACCTCCCAGAAGTGACATATCAGTTTCCCAAGGTAAAAGAAAAATTCTTACAGACAGTTTATTCTAAGATCAATAAAGCGAGTAAGTGGGAAGATTAATAGAAATCTATTTTTTAAATGGAGTTAATCATTCAGCTTTCATAATTGTTCCAGAGCAATCTGTTATAAAGTGAAGGGCATAGAGAAAGTGACTGAAAGCTTTCCCTGTTTATAAATTTACCTTTTCCAGTGCTGGAGAGTTTGGCCTGATGGTAGGGGCTTTAAGGACTGTGTTTAAATTCAGTTTCTAAATATTTCACTATTAACTCATTTTGGCTATATTAGGATTTGTTCCAAAACTCACTGAAGTCAATGGAAAGACTTTTGCTGATCTATGGCATTTCTCTTGTGCTCTTGCAGCAGAAAGGAATTTGAGTTAGGACTGTGTTTTAAGTGGCCATTGTACAACAAGGGAGTTTCAGGCAATTTAAAAAAAAACATTAAGAAAACCCACATCAGTGATTATTTCTATTGTACTAGCATCTGTAAGCCTGTACTGGGGTCATGCCTCACTCTGCCAAGCACAAATAAAGAACAAGCTGATGTGCCCTTGCTCTTCAGAGCTCATTAGTAGCCCCCAGCTCTTGAGAGGAGCTGTGAAGCTGGCACTAACAGTAACTGACTGAACCTCAATTTTCTCCCCCACAGCTAGAAAGACCAACCAAGCAAATGCGTGAAGCGGAGGAGCGTCTCAAGGCTATCCCCCAGTTCTGCTTTCCTGATGCCAAGGACTGGCTCCCTGTCTCTGAATACAACAGGTAATCCCTCCGGTGCTCCTCTGCTGCACAATGCTGATGGAGTGCATCTGGAGCAGCCACAGGCTCGCTGATGCCCAATTAAGGAAGTAGCAGTTTGAGTCTTGGCCACTTCGGGCTTGAGCAGCTGTATTTAATTTATTTTTTTTTTTAAAAAGTTCTGTATTATTTTTCTTCCCCATTCTGCCTGCCTCACAGGCCTGTGTGGCTGAGGGGAAGAGGTTTGAAGGTTCCTGTCAGTGCTAAACCCAAAAGCATAAATGGAAGCATTTCAAATAAATCCAAAAAAGAACAGGGTCCTGACCACCACCTAGTCATTTACCCCAGAACACTTGTCTAGTGTGGCAGGATACCTCTTCATTTGTCTCAAAGCAATGCTGTTCTGAGAACTTTTTAGGAGCCAAGCTCTATGCTAGAAGAGGGGCCCTATCTTCCTTTCCTCAGAGATGAATGACCACAGGAGAAGGGCAAAGGAAGGGAGAGCTAGGCTTGTATTTTCTTTTTCATTCAAAAGAAACCTCAAAAAGATGTATCTTTTTTTCTCCCCTGCGTCGATATGTCAGAACCTGTTGATCTGAAGGTGTAGAAGTAGTAGAATAGGCAGAAGGGATAGAATCACGGAATGGTTTGTGTTGGAAGGAACCCTCCTGCCATAGGCAGGGACACCTTCCACTAGACCAGGTTGTTCAGAGCCCTGTCCAGCCTGACCTTGAATGTTTCCGGGCGCAGGGCATCTACAACCTCTCTGGGCAACCTGTTCTGGTATTTCACCACCATCATTGGAAAACTTTTCTTCCCTATATCTAGTCTGGATCTACCCTCTTTCAGTTTAAAAGCACTGTCCCCTGTCCTGTTGCTACAGGCTGAATCTGTCCCCATCTTTCTTAGAAGCCACCTTTAAGTATTGAAAGGCTGCAATAAGGTCTCCCTGGAGCCTTCTCTTCTTCAGTCTGAACCCCCCCAACTCTCTCAGCCTGTCCTCACAGGGGAGGTGCTCCAGCCCCCTGATCATTTTTGTGGCCTCCTCTGGACCTGCTCCAACAGGTCCATGTCTGTCTTGTACTGAGGTCTCCAGAGCTGGATGCAGCACTGCAGGTGGGGTCTCCCCATGTTCCCCTAGAATATGAGATGGTTTTTTAAGAAGCATGGTCTGAGACCTGTAAATGAAGTAAGACTTGTTCAGACTGTGTCTAGAGGGACTTTCAATGATGACAAGTAACTGGCACTCACCTGCAGGAATTACTGTAGCCAAGAATATGTATGGAACGTCTTATTGGCTTACGTATGGCACATGCAACATAAACATATTATATTCTGTGTTGCTTGGCTGTATTATTCAGTACGTGGAAGCACCTGAATAGTGACTTGCTGAAAACACTGAAGGAGAAGTGGACAACTGTGTGGGCAACATTGGTATGAGAAGCACAGCCCTGCCTGCGCAGCATTTCACATCTTCTGCTGTCACTCTCCTAGACAGACCCTTTGTGAGCCAATGTTTGTGAAACGAGGTATCCCTCCCATATACAGCTGTAATTTTATAAACCCTGGCATTCCAGTACAAAGAAAGAGTTTTATATAATGATTTTTAAAACTTTCAAAACAGTCAGGAATATTTCTCAGTCCTGGCACAAATTCACAGACCAATCCCTTTACCTGTGCTGTAATCATAGTTTTAAACTGTTGTTTTACTCCTCTGTCATGAATGATACTTATCCTAGACAGGGATATAAAATGACCTGGATTTTGGAAATCTCTGATGTTTTTGGATTAGAAAATGATTTCTTTATTCTTAAAGAATATCTAAGGTTCTCCCTTTAAGAGCAAAGGACAGTCCAAAGACACAATCTAACTACAAGGTAAGGGAGACAGAGCATTCGAATAGTGCCCTCAAAGCCAGTACAAAGGGACTGCCATGTCACTGAAATTCAGCACCCATCTCTTCTTATAAGATAGCTAGATTGTCCACAACCATGCAGATATTTATCTACTGCTAATGGAATTTGTCCACAGAGTATAACCAGATGATGGGCCAGAAGGAGAGAAAACCCTCCAATGGGTAAAATCTCTCACTGGATAAGGCAATATCCCTTTCTGAATGATCTGCCTTGAGGCTATGCTGTAGTTCTGATAGTAACATCTGGGCAATTTATTTTTTTCTAGTGAGACTTTCTCTTTCATGCTGACTGGGGAAGATGGGAGCCGGCGGTTTGGTTATTGCAGGAGACTGTTGGTAAGTACATCATCTTCACCTCAAAATGCAGAATTCAGTTTAAACAATATCTCAAAACTATAGTCTGAACTTACAGGATGTGTCTCATGGTTTTAAAAGAAATTGGAGTTGTTCACTCGGAAATTTGGAAATGTAAGGAGCTCAAGTAAAATAAGAATTTGTAATGGCTGTCTCAATCAAACAGTCCCAAGGATGTGGAAAGTTTCTTGTGTGAGGACTTACTTTTAAAATTCTTTATATTACATGCTTTCAAGCAGAATGAGAAATACTATAACACTGCAAACAAAGGCAAATGTGGTATTTCTAAACATTTGCGAGTAGCATTTATCTCTTGGACAGCTGCTTACATCTCCCAAGTACTCTGCCAGCACTGCCTAATCAGTCTGCAGCAGGGCGGTGATGTAGGTAAATAAGCCACCCTGTCGAGGAGGAGGGCAGCAGCAGTGGAGAGCACACCACCATCACCATTTGCTCAGCACCATGCAATAAGCTGATGCCAGTGCCAGGAAGCCCAGGTCCTCAGGCTTCTTTTTAGTCCTCCTGACCAGGAGTGGTCAACTGGTGGTGTGGGAACCTGACTCAGCCTAACAGTTCTGTCTCATCACTTGGAAAATCACTGGTCACCTGATAAACTGAGAGCATGGTGGAGGGGGGTGTGTGGTGTGTGTGTGTGTCTGTGTCAAGGTGGCGGGAGAAAACTGCACAAAGGCCTGAAAAGTGTATTAAGGCAGGTGAAGCACAGTGCAAACAGGGATTTTTCTGTCCATCCTGCATGCCTGACTGGATGGCAGCAAAGCATAAAGCAGTTGGTTTTCCTGCATTACCTTGTGCTAGTCACCTCTCAGTTTTGGAGCTGGTTGTGAGTGACTAGGTGGGGAGCCATGGCTTTTGTACTGTTCACATGACAGTTGCCTGTGCTTGGTTGGAGAACTTAGATGGATATTGGATGCTGCAGGAGCCTTCTGCATACTCTCTGTGCAAAATGAATATTTGCAGCAGCATTGCAAACTTGTAAATAGGTACCCCTGTCTAAGGGGTAGGGACACTGGCACTTTTCCTTCCCTCTCTGGCATTATTTCTCATCCTTCCAAGCAGGGATCACCTGCCTTCAGTAGCTTGCAGTGGCTTCCAGTTAACAGAGCAACTCGCCATCCTTAGAACAGCACTCTTCGTCCTGCATGCTGCCTGTGCCTGACCCTGCTCTTAGCCTGCTCTTTGTCTATGGCAAAGCTCCTTCTCGTGCAGACAGCAGATGCTCTGTCTGGGAGGTATTGCTGTGTGTGGTTCCTCTATTTGTAAGAAGTTTCGTTTAAACTAACATAACAGAAAACTTGTTTATCAATTCTGTGAGCGGTATTTGCCATAGGTAGCATCACAGAGACTTGCTTACTCTGTGTAACACATTGTGTAAGCGTGGGCCACAACAAGGTTTACATGTGGAAAGGAAATGTCAATGAAGAATTGTGTTACAGTAAATCTAGGGCTGGTCGGGCGGTGATTCAGAGGTAAAGGAGTACCTAGCAGGTATCTCTGCTGGTGTAAATAAGCAGAACAAGATGTAGGGCAGCAGTACAATTCAATTAACTTTTTAATTTGTTGTCATTTAAAAGAATAATAAGGTGTATTTAGAAAAAAAATAACAAAACCTCTGAAGATGTTGGCTGGAATATAAATTATGGAACGTTTTCACTCTACCAGGTAACGCAAGTTTAAGACTTTTATTTTTCTGGGAATGTTAGGAAGTTTGGAATCATGCACAGAACTTAACATTTGTGAAATGCAAAACAGTTGATCCTGGACCCGGCTGAGACTGACATAATTAACTACAATAAAAAAATATATACACAGGAGTATTGAATTAGTTTGTCAGTGAAGGATTAACATTGGCTTTTTTTACTCACTTAAGGCTCAGTGAAATCCACTCTACATTAGAGGTGACATTAAAGTAGAACACTGACTTTCAGCGGGTGCAGAAGATAGGTTAGCATAGTAGGAAATACTGGGAACAGAATTCAATCAGTAATACACACTTTTGTAGAAATGGTGTTCGGGGACAGCATTGGAGATTGCTTTTATCCTCCATTGGCTTTGGCAAAAATCAATCAACCAGATAGCAAAAAATAATTTTAAAAAGGGAAAAATATGTAGTCTTGCTAAATTTATCTAATAATTACAAAGCTGATCTGCTGCTGCTCTGGGAGATCACTTAATTCAGGATGTTTCATCTGATTCAAACCCTGACATGCAGAAGCTGACATGTCTGATCTCACTGGTACAGCGCGCCCAGCAGAGGAAAGCGGGGTGATACCAATGGACTTTACCAGCTTGTCCTTTTCTGGGGCAAATCCTGCCGTGCCTTCTAAGAGCAAAACTGGCACAGTCCGGGGCTTAGAAAGAAAGAGGATTTTGGAAGCTGCAAAGAAACATCTCAGCATTTCTCTGTCTGGGGAAATGGCAAAAGTAGCAGAGATCTACTGTTATTTGAATCCTGCAACTTCCTTCTGTCCTGCTGGGAGAAACGGTGGAATTGGGGTTGTTACCTGAAGTGTCTTCTCAGGGATCAGCTGTGCTCACAAGGCATAACAATTTCATGTCCCCTGCAAATGTCAGTGCATGAGTGGAACAGCCTCACTGATGTGTACCTCGGCGTGATATTTCCATTTAGAGTCCTGTGCATACTTAATTTATATATGCACATACAGAGTTTGTACAGGCAACAAAGAGCAGGTAAATTCTGCAGGCTCTGTTTATATGCTAGAGGCTTGGGTTCTAAAGCAGATTTTTGTATTTGGGTGTCCAATTTCCTGAGCAGTTCCTGAAAGCTTCAGTCAGGGTGGCTCTGATGTCCGGGAGTGCACAGCATCTCCTCCAATTAGTCCCATTCCTGACCCACAGGTTCTGTCAAACGCAGTAACCATAATTCGGGAACTACATGCGGGTTTTGGCAAACATTACATAAGAGAAAGGTGGGGCCATACTTTGTAATATAGAACCATAAGAAAACCCTAAAATCAATATAAACTGCTCTGCTTCAAGACAAGCCAGCTGCTGTGAGGCTAATTCCTTAGAAAATATTCCCCAGCTGTCCTGGCAAGAGATGCTCTTGTAATACCCAGCGAGAGGTGTCTCACACCTCCTAGAGCATTGGGCAGCCCTCAGCAGCAGGTTCCATGGCTGCATGATCCTGTGAGGGTGGCTGTGTCTTCTGCGGAGGCCTGCTGTTCTGATCCCTTTGTGTATGAAACAGTTTCTTTTTGTCAGCCTTGTCCTTCTTTGGCACGTTGTGATACGAACAACCTGCTCCGTTTTTTCTTTTCTGCGTTCAGATTTCAGATTCTTCCAGACCCTTTTTTTGGGGATGTGTGTGCTAAACCCCTGCCAAAACTACCTCAAGGAAATACAGTGACAATTATGTTCTGTTTGTACTACAAATCCTGTACAGTATCCTCTTTAAATGTATTTATATTGTTTTGTTTCATTTTGGAACAGGATTAGAATGGAATGTAACCTATTGTACCATAGCAAACAGTCTGCACTTTCACAGTTAGCATGAAGTTTTCCAGTTCCATCTTGATACCTCCAAGGCAATAGTGTAGCAGCTTTCCTAGTGACCTGATGTGAGAAGTATGCATCTCCATATAAAAAGAAATGGGCCAATATGTACCAGAGATACTAACTCTCTCTGCTATGCTATTTTACTGCAAATAAGACATTTTTCTTTAACTCGGATTAATTTAACTTTCTTTTCCAAGCTAATGAATCCATCATCTTGCTAGGCTCTTTTCTAGAGCTGTTTGTGGGCTGTGGCTCTGCGATACGCACGTGTCAGCAGCACAGATGGTTTGAGCGGTTCCTGCCGAGGGCTTAGCCTCCCCCGGCCGGTCACAGCCCTCTCCAGTGGACGTGACAGTGCCCCCGGCGCTGTGAGGCAGCAACCTGGGTAGGGGCAGAAGGGAGAGCAGGAGCACAGGAACAGCAGGAGCATGTGGTGGGGAAGGAACAGGGGTGAGGCTGGTGTAGCGTGAATCTGAGTGTATCTTGGGAAATACAGATTTGTAATTTGATTTAGTGTAGAATTTTATTTTACTAATTGTCTTAATATGTTAAAAAATGGCTTTCTAAAGGGTGTGACTGAAGTCTTAGCTGTTCTCTATCTGTGCAGCCCACTAGGCTTGTGCCCAGAAAGAGCACAGTGGATATACAGGGATCACAGTGGTGAAAGCAGGGACCTGCTCAGCAGGTTTCTGCTGACAGAGTCTCAGCTGCAAGACCCACCAGTAGGGGAAAATCTGTAAAACTTTCCTTACTTGGAGGCTGTGAACAGTCTCTGCAGCTCAGAAAGAGGGTGTAGACAGCCAGAGAGATACCAGGCCTGTATCCTTCGGGAGGTGCTTGGATCCAGTGCAGCTCCTTGGCAGCCTGGGCTGTCAGCGGCCTTATGGGTGGGATCCACAGCTGTGCCAGCCCCTGTCCCCAGGGACAGTCATGGCATGTAAGCTGCTGGTTTATGGGATCTTCACAAGCATCTTGGGATTTACTGCCATGGGAGTTGCTGCAGATGCTGAGGGGTGCTAGTTCTAGCTAGTGGGGTAATACTGGAGTATGAGATACTGCATCCTCAAAACAGTGTCCTGCCGTTTGTTGCCACAGCTGGCAGCTGGTTCACGGGAAGAGTAGGACACAAACTTCTATCATATAGGGCAGAAATCTGCAAAGACCCAGTTCTCAGAGCAGAAAGCTTGACAGTGTCAGGATTTTCTGGCTGGTGATTTTGTACTTGCAGAAATAAGATGAAAACTTTCAAGGTCTGTTTCGCCCTATCCTACCTCTTTCTTCCCTCTCACATAAAAAAATGTTCCTCCACCACTTTTTAGGCTAAGACTAGTCAGCCCCAGGAGTCAGTGGAGGAGTGAATGCCTGAACATGAAGCATGTACATTAAAACATGAGTTGTTAGGTGGGACTAGTTCATCCTGTATTTGCTGGGGCAGGAGAAGGGAATACACTGTGAAAGCAACTTTTGTGGGATGCAGACTAATGTTTATGGAACTGAATAAAGCTCACTGGAAAACCTTTTCTTCCCCTTGCCTTCTTCCCTCCATCCTGTTCTGCCCCAAGCACCTTTGACAGCCCTGTGCACATTGGGTGTTCTGACATTAAAAGTTAATGTTTCGCATGTAACAAGAAGACTTTAAGACAAGCTTTTGGATTTAGAACCCCCACAGTTTTCTCATAGTCTGAATTTGGATTGGCCCTAACAAGGGATCAAGAGCTGCCACAGAAGATGGCTTGTGACTGACATATTCATTTTAGACTCTCAATATTTGAATTGTTCTGATTCCTGACACCATTAAGGAACATCTCTGTTTCCAAGCCTTATCTAGTATGTGCAGAAAAATGTTCACAGGAGGCATCTCCTCTATCTTCTTGATGTCATACATTCAAGCTACGCACCCCATCAGCTTGTGTGTGGCTCTAATATAACTGAGCAGGAGAAATGTGCTGGGAGGTTATTCAGGAATATCATGTTTCCCTGTTTAAGCTTTGTATTGAATCTGCATCTTCCAGTGTTCGAAGATCAAGACAGTCCTAGAGACAGGTAGCGTTAAAATAGTGTCCTTTTCACTCTCTTGCAGAAAAGAATGAACATTACACAATATGTGTGTGAAAATGGCATTTGTGTTGTCATTTAGAGTTAAATATTTTTAATGTACTATCTCTGTTATATGGTCATTGCCTTAATTACAGCTAATTGTAATTGAAGCATCTACACTTTAGGTCTCAAAAGGAGCCCAGGGTGTTAGAAGCTTACGCAGAGCTAATGCATGTGCTTTGCAAAGGCCGGTTCCTTCAGACAACTCAGCTGCTGCTCTGCATTTGTGATGGTCCTTTTTCACGTGGCCTTGGGGCAGCCCTTACTGCTTCCTCTGGTTTTCCAAATAATGCTCTCTGGCAAATCATTTAGAAGATCTCAGGTGAGATGCTCTGTCCCATTTTGGGTAGGAAGGAGCACAGCCCTTCTGGAGTCTTTAGGTTGATGCTAGTCTGTTCCTTCCACACTTCTGCTTCTTTGAGATGGCAGGTAGGACTATGGTGCATGTGTCTCTTTCTTGCTGTTGGTAGGTCTGTTTTTGCTGCCTTTCCTCTTCACACAGTGTATCTTCAGATAGATGGGAGAAGCGCAGGAGGAAAAATGTCGCGTTTGGTCCCCACTGCTTTGGTTCCTCTGATGTCAGCATGCTGGGACTAGCATTCCCCAGTTATTTCTGAGGCTATGAAACCAGGAGCTGTCCTGACATCCTGCAGCCTCCCCAGTATCTTGAAAAACCCAAACCACTGAATTATGTGTCAGAATGGCTGGTGAGTATGTAACTCTGCAAGGACAGCCTGCCTTGCTTTGAAAGCAGGCATGTACAAGTGTGTGAGAGACTCTTAAGTGCTATGTCAGACTGGGAGGAGATCCCTGGAGCCTCCCCTAGATTTCAAGCACATGGGCAGGGAGGTGTGATTCGAAAGAGAGAAATGGCAGACTTACATTCTGGAGCAAAAGCCTCCTGTTTCTCCTGCCAAAGCAGGTTTTGGAGTGAGCTTTAGTCAGTAAACTTCAGATTAAACTCACTAGAAAAAAAACTGTCCTGAGCCATTTGCGGACCAGCCCTGATGCAGATCTCAGCTTCTCCATCTCATAGCCAAGTTCTTGTCAGTTTATATTCATCCTCTTGGGAAACTGTCTTGTTATCAACAAAACTCATTAGCATTTTCATTTATGATACTGGACTAATGCTGAAAATATCCTGGGCTCTATGAAAACAAATTGAAAACAAATCAAAACCAAAACATCATCCTTGCCATTCCTCTTCTTCCAGGAGGAGGAGTGCAGTGCATCAAGGCAGAGTCACTCAGATGCCTCTCAGCTGTGCTGCTTTACCACACAGCTTCCCTAAACTGGACCTATTCATTGTGTGGAAGACTGAGCCTTGAAGGACATGACTGCAAGGCTTTGTAGCTGCACGTGTGCTTGGAGAGCACAGCCTGCAACTTGGAAGCACTCTCTTCTGGGAAGAGACTAGGTTAAACCAGTACTGTTGGCCAGACCCATTGCCCAAGTGAAGAGAGACGAGTCCAGGAAGAGAGGGGAGTGTCATGTCCCGTATGATGTTTTTCTAGGAAAGAAGCAAAGTAAAGCACGATGAGCAGGTGTTTCAGAGCCATCTTTGAGGTGTAGGCTAATGGCTGAGAGGGGAGGTTATGTGAAGACTTGCCAATATTAGAAATTTGAGAAGCCCTGCCCCTCAGAATGGCTCAGCCTGAGTGAGGCTTTTGCTCGCTGCCTCTTACAGATGATTTGTATGCATCTGGGAGGCTGGGCTGTTTGCAGGAAAGTCTCTGAAACAACAGAAAAGGACGTTCTGTATGATGAGTGCGAGGAGGGAAGAATCCCAGCTCTCAGAGACGTGTAGCCTTTAAGATGTTTGAAAGCAATGATATTTCATAAAGGAGAATCTTTGAGTAAGTGCTAAGCAGTTATTGTTTCTGGTCTTATAGATGACCCAGGAATGTGATGTTTTTACTGGCACTCAGTGAGACAGCTCTCGATTGGGAGCTATCCAAGGCTCCTGGCATGGCTCCGGCATTCCTGCAGATTTGACACAATGATTTTAACCAAAATCCCACATGCTTGATATAATCACTCAGTGCCTTTAGAAAGGGTTTTATACCTAATATGGACAAAAAAGGGCTCTGCTTTTTCAGAGATGTGACGTGTAGTGAGCAGGTTTGGATCCAGAAATAGACTCATCTGTATTCACTTAGCTGTGGTATTTTTTTGTGGTCTTTATTATAACAGGCAGGCACCTGCTGACGGTCCCAAGTCTAGATTGCAATATTCAGATTTAAAAAGCACAGCTACCCCTCAATATCTCTTGACTGACATCTGTGTGGCATGTAACTGTCAAACACACCGTGGGGAAGTTAATCACTGTATCGGCAGAATCTGATGATGAGACAAAGATAAAAATACACTGTCCTTCTATGTGGATACAGAGGAGGTGATCAGCCACTTTGGTTAAATGTGCAAGTAGGCAGAAGCTAATGGAAACAGTGACTTGAGCTCCTTTATCACAGAGTTGTTATTAATGGAGGTGGTTCTGTCACTGCTGCATATCAATAATGTACAGCCACACAAAGAGGCCAAGTGATGCCAAGGGATTTTCTTACAGCCACTTTTCAGCGCAAGCACAGCTGGCTCCAGGAGATGCAAGAAAGTAGGCAGCCTCACCCCTTGTCTCAGACCCCACTTTCAGCTTTTTGCTGCTGGGGTGCTGGAGTTTGCTAGCGTACCTGCAGCCCTTCTGTGCCAAGATGGGCATAGCTCCTGGACGAGGCAGCACCAAGATTTCCTTGTATATTGTGACTTGGGACTACATATGACTGCATCTGAAGCCAACAAGCTGCCTTATTAAAATTACAGCCCCTAGGAAGTGTGTGCCTACTGATCTGGTGAAAATCAGTTGCAACTACACAGAGCTGGGATGCTGCCTCACAGCTTATTGAAAATACAGTGGGAAGCTGCTGTACACAGATGTCACTGCCATCTGTGTGCATTGTACACATGCAGGACACAGGCAAGACCAGCTCTCTACTCTGAGGACCTTGCCAGTGAGGATGGTTTTTCTAAAGTGCTCAGCATTGGCCTAATTGTACTTCTTTTCCAGTAGATAAGCTGAATCCAGCCGGCAGTTGTACCCTTTCTTCACACACAGTGCTGATGGGCCGTTCCCTGCGGTGGTATAGGCAGGGTTGCAGAGTCCAGCATGATGAGGGCATACACATCAGTCATGCCAGTTTAAACCATTTCTTCTTTAGGAATATCTTCAATAGGATGGTTATAGAGAACGATCTTTATAGTTGTTTTTTGGGGGGTGGGAGGGGTGTGTGTCATTTATTCATACTTGCCACTGTTTAAGTTATTTAAGAGTTTCATGTTCATCATGCATTAATCCGAGGAAGTTAATGATTTAGCTTATGCAGCTTGTCTCCATTTAGGTCTATAAGCTTGCTTTCTGTAAGTTGAGCTTTCTTTGAACATCATGGAGTGAGTGGGGAACTAAAGCCATCATAACCTCCCTTAGCATTGTAGTTCTTATCTTCCAGCTCATCACCCCAGCGTGGCCCCGCTCCTCGTGCCGCAGCAGGAGCAGAGGACAGTGATGGCACAGGCATGAGTTACAGTCGTAGTTAAATGTGCTTTTATGTCTGCAAGCTGGAGTGATACTGGAATATAGCTCCAGTGCGCTGTGATTTCCAAAGTGGATAAGCACTACTTATGCTTTTTAGTTTCCTGTCTTATGGAAAAAATATGATGCTTTTCCAAGAGTAACTATTTTGATGAAGAAACGGATAGTGAAAGATGTCACATGATGGCCAACTGTGTGATCAGAGAAGTGTGTTTCCTTATGACTCCAAATCAATATGTAATTTCAATCTTCTTTTTACTGTTATCAGCCAAGTGGAAAAGGCCCACGCCTACCTGAAGTTTATTGTGTCATCAGCCGACTGGGGTGTTTTGACTTATTTTCCAAGGTAAGAAGATTTGGTATTTTTCAGTATTGCTTTTTAATTTGACTGTTTACTGAGACACATCTGCAGTGATGAACTAGACGAGAAGAATTTCTTCCTTTTGATGGGAGATAACTGTATTTTACAGTTGCTGTTTTGGATATTCCATCCCTATTATTGGGTTTATCAAAGAATGTCTTATTACTTCTGTGACTGAGGCAGCACTTGATTCAGAAAACATCTGGGTGTCTGTATGATCTGGCTAACTGAAGTTTTTTCCGTTGTTTTCTAAAGCTGTTCTCTGCTGAGCTGTAATTCTTGGCATCTGCAGTTTGAATGATGGGCCAGTACCACTTTTACTCCAATATGCTGTGGAATGATGAGGTTAAGAAAAAAGATTATTTGATAAGTGAATTCTATATGCTTAACTCTATTGACGTGTTTTTTTATCCTAGGAGGCTAGGAAAGCGTGGATAATCTTTTAATTGGCCTCCACATTAACAAATCCAAAGCTGTATTGTATGCTGATGTGGCTTACTTAGGTAATACATTTCTTAACACAAGAGTTTCAAGACATTACGCAGGGCATTACAGCTAAACTGAGGGATTGAATAGCCATAGAAACAGTGAACTGCCAGTCCGCTCCAGAGCCATAAGCATTCTTCTTTTGTAAGACAAAAGGTTATTAAAATTAACTGGTAATAACATTTCTGATTGATTAACATTTGAAATATCTCTCTAGCTGCCAGTTCAGGGCCTCCTAGTCCTCTGAGAACGTCCTGCAAAATCCAGTGCACACCTCAGAATATTGTATAGGATTTGCTGGTGATCTTGGAGAATAATATGTCTAATGTCAAATGGCTCCCTTCCCCTTTTCCAATTTTGATACAGTGTTCATAGAAATATTGTTTTAATTTGCCAAAGATTTTCACTTCAGTAACAGGAAATCTCACAGAACTTACACAGATTTTTCTTGTTCATTTGTATAGGAATAAAGTTGAAAAGAACAAGTAAATCATAGAAGTTAATAAAAATCGTAGCATTTATATTGTTCATATGGCCTAATAATTATACAGAACGTTATCTTCAAAGCAGTTTTCAAGCTTTTCTAGACAAAACTTTAAGACAAATCTTGTATGGAGAAAAACCATTGGTTCGCAATAGTTAATTGCAGTTCTGCTTCTGACATCTTTCATAAAGCTCTGAAATCAAGAGTTTATAACAGTGTCTCTTAAACATAATATGTATCTAAACACAGATATCTGTGAGCAAAATGGAATGCATTGTTCTGGGAGGATAACACAGCTCACCAGATCTGTGGTATGGAGGGATGTCCTGAGGCTCTTTGTTTGCTTTTATGTTTTTATCTAATTTTCATAGTGCTCTAATTTTCAAAGGAAAACTTGGGAGAGGGGAAAAATAAGGCAGAAAAATGGAAAAAAAAAAAAAAGAGAAAGAAAAGAAAATTTAAGTATTCTCCTTACAACCAAGTATCACTGCAGCTGAGGTATATGTTCAGACAAGGAAGGTCATTGCACCACAGCTGCAAATAATCTGCTTTCCCAATTCAATCTGTAACTTGAAAAAAAGTGTCTGATCATCCAGCCAAAGTGAACCCAAAGCTGACGGGTGAGTGTAATTTCACTGGCTTCAGCAGGGGCTATTCCCAGGCATTGTGACAGGCTGGCCCTGGCCACACGGGTCTTGCCTTGCTGCTTTTGGCCTGTGTGGGAAGGAAGGCTCCCACCCAGTTGCATACTGGGCCCTGAACGGGGCTGTAACACACCTGAGCTCTTCTTCAATTACCGGGCTTGTGGTGGGGCTGGGCCACGAAGGGACCCGTCTGTGCTGGAGTCTGGCCACAGCGGTGCTGCCCTGCAGAGGGCTGGTCACCTCCCGACGGTACTGGCGCAGGGTGGGAGCAGGGTTGGGCAGCACGCGGGGCTGACTCCAGCCCTGGGCTGGGTTTAGCACAGCTCCTCAGCACACACTCCAAGCACTGCATTTGGAAAGAAGGGGCTTGGACAGAACAGCTGTTAAATGAAGGAGGAAGAGTTTGAGCCTCAGCATCCCTGTTGGTTTTGAAGACAGATGTGGTGTGGATGGAGACAGAAGTTCTTGAAAAGTGAGACAGTCTCTTTTTCCAGCCTAGTAAAAGGAACCTGGGCTGTCCTAACTGATAAATCTGGTGAAACAGGAAAATGATCATGAGGGTGCACTTTGCTGAATTAGTCAAAACAAGCAACAGTTGTCTTTACAGAAAAATATGAGTCCTGAAAGGCCACAAGATATTAAACCTTGGATATTATTTATCAGAAAAGCAAAAAGAGTCCTGTTTTAAAATGTTTATCATCCTCTTTCCGATAACCTGTGTTATTTTAATCTTCCTCAAAGCCTTTTATGCTCCCTGTTGTAATACGCACTGCTAAGACAGACGTGAGAACCACAGATATCTTTACTTCCAGCCAGTTCGTTTAGTCATGGTTTCAACAGATGTTTTTGACTATATTATCTCCTGAGATCTCTGTTGAACTTTTATTTCGTTTAAATGCTCCTTTTTATTTGTGTTGTAAAGGTTCTCGGACAGGAATATGACACACACATGGCCCCCAACTCCAGCAACATAAAACATCAAATAGTGACTGCAGAAGAGGGAATATGTGTTGGGCACACTACAACTGCATGCCAGCAGTGTGTGTGAGCACGAAGGGACCTGGGGCATAGCCTTGGTTCATTACTACTTCCCCTTGGGGTAGCTGGTTTTGTTTGGTGAGGATAGTTGTGCTGCAAATTACATCAAGAATGAAATTAATGTCTTCATTTATGGTTATCTGCCACTTCCATGGACTGGAATGCAAGCTATGTATATGGGGTCAGCTTTGCTTTAGTTAGGTCTTTACTGTGTTGCAAGGAAGAAGGGGGAAACTATGCACCAATGAATGCCTCTGTTGGCATTTGGTGTCACTAGATATCGTAAGTCACCATGTTGTGCTTAAGTATCTTTTAATGTTCTGTTTCAGTGAAAAGCATTTCCAAGAGAAACAAGGGAAAATGCCTGGCTCAGACCCACTAACTCTTGTATGGCCTTTTGCTCTTGAGTGGTGGTTAAAAGATCACCATTTCAGGTCAAACCACTAACTGCTTTGAAGCTTGCTTTCTCGTCTTCTTTAGGTTTATCGTCTATATGGTCTGTCTAATGTGGGAAAACTTAGCTGTGATCTAATTTATGTTGGCCCATGTGACCAAAGAGAGAGGAAAATAATAGTCCTCTCTATCTGTAAGAAGTTCCATCTGCTTATTTCGAAACTAGATTGCCTGCTCTGCATCATGTCAAACAGAAAATGACCTTAATCAGGCACCCGGTGTAAACAGCTGGGCATGCTTCGAGAGGCTGCTCGGGGCTGGCTCCAGCTCAGCACAGGCTGCGACGTGACTGCTGCCACCACGGCTGGGACTCTTCCAGGAGCTCTTTCCTGGTGGACCTTTGCTGGTATCATAGTGTGGCAGCGTTGCTTTTCTTGCTGGTCTGGCTTTTTCCTGCCCTCTCAGTTGAAATGGAAGAGATGCTCAGGGCATAAGAAAGTGTTTCTCCTTAATATATATTTCAGGATGTACCACTGAGACATGATGCTGACCTGGTCTGTGATCATAAGGATTTGTCTTGATCTTTCTCTCCTTCAGCTCACCCTGTTGTTCAGGCAAAATCCCAACAATATAGATCCCTTTTGCCATGCTGTCATCTTTCTCCTTTCCAGTTTCTTCCTTGTCTCTGTGTTAACTGCATTCACAAACAGGCTCAATTTTGTAACTGGAAAATGTATCATTTTTGGAGTACAACTGAATCCTGTGGCTTTAACGGTAGTGAAGAAATGCATGGCAGAGGAAAATTAAATTTAGATCTGCCATGTATTTACGCACATGTGGGTCAAAAGACGCTTCAAAAGCATATGTGGTGCTGACATGTTCTGTCTCTTTCTCTCTTATGTCTTACTAATGGATCAGATCCTGGATGAGGTTGAAAGGAGAAGGGGAATATCTGCTGCCTTGGTTTATCCATTTATGAGGAGTCTGATGGAATCTCCTTTTCCTGCACCTGGAAAGACAATTAAAGTCAAAACCTTTCTGCCTGGAGCTGGAAATGAGGTAAAAAGCAACTGCAAACATTAAGAGTCAAAGCCTCCCCCCTCACCACTCCAATATCAAACAGCAAAAGAAAAACAGGAGGAGATACACGGATACTGCAAGGCATATGAGGTGGCACACTCTCAAAATGAGAAGCGAGGAGCTGTACCCGTGTTGATATGCTAATGCTAGTTCCCATTGATGATTATAAGCCAATTTATTGTTACGTATTTGTTTTTCATTTATTAATATGTTGTGTTTAAGAAAAAAGCACAAACAACGCAAATGCCCTCGTGTGCCTGGTCTAGTGTAGTTAACAGACGACAGTGTTGCTGGACTTTATCACGGTGATAACAAGCAAGTGTAAGTTTCCCATGCTGACTGTGCTTGAACAGGTCAGCAGCTGGTTGTTATTGCAAACCTCATTACTGCTGGTCCTGGCCTTGGTAGGAGGAGTGACCAGCAGCATTTAAATGGCTCTTTTTGGCAATAAATACCCTTTAACTGGCCCTTAAAGGAATAGTCTATATTTGGAAAAGCATGTCATATAAAAGTTTGTGTGTGCATGCACACATATAATGGATTTAATTTCCTTTTATTACTGACTTAAGTACATACAACATATGCCTTAGTGGAAAATGGCAATAGTGGTGCCTTGCTTAAAAAGTTTTTTGTAACTTGAGACTTGCTAGCCATTCGCTGTGTCAAATTCTGCTCTCTGCATGTTCTTATGTATGTTAACAGTAGCTCCACTCAGATGGGCAAGCGTATGGAGGAAATACATTACTGCAGATAGGAATTGAATTTGGCCCAGTTAGTGAAAGAAGGAAAAAAATTCCCCTCTAGGGTTGTTTCACACTCCTTAGGGTTAGTTTTACAGTGCTATTACTATTTTTACATCGAATCATATTTTCCTCAAGTGTAACGCCACTGACTTCAACGGAGTGGGGCTGTAATGTCACTTGGTACAAAATGTGAAGGGTTCCTTGTATAAGTGACTTGCAAGGCATGTTTAAGTCACAAGCATTTTCTTCTGGAGAAGCAAAGGAAATCTGAAAGGCTGAGTGGCCTAACAGTGGTGAGAGCTGATAGTGCTTTTTTGATGTGAATATATCTGGGAACCATGGATCTGCAACTTCTCTATCCTCTGCTCAAGCTTCTGAACTCTCCCAGAGAAAAACATTGAGATAATTCCAAACAAACAAATAACTCTCTTCTGGTTGAGCTTTGCTCTCTGTTATGCTAGTACAAACTCGTTATTTAAATGGAATGTGCTGGCTTAATTAGGAACAGAATCTTCTCCTTACATTGTGGCTCCTCTGGCCTAAACAAAGATGATGATTAATTGGGAAGTAGACAGTATATTTCTTTGTGATTAGCAGACTGAAGCAGAAGGCTTTGCCAGGCAACAGAAAACATGCATGGCATTCGTAAAAGCTGCTGTAACTTGCATTGCATCCTACCCCGCAGCAAGATTTTAGCATTGGAAGTTTTGCAGTAAAACCAGCTCCTCATGATCTGGCACATAAATACAATTTGAGCTTGCAATCCCAAATCTAAGGAATGGGAGTGGGCACCTTTACTGAATATGAGAAAGAGGTAGGCAGAGGCAGCATGTCCCGAGGAGGTATTCATGGTACACCATCGCTCCACAGTTTGATTCTTACTGCTATTTGGGGCAACAGCTGAGTGATGGGTATCTAATACTCTTGGCACCATAATGTTTCTGTATTTCACCCTTAAAAATATAAAATCTGTACACTAATACTGTTCTAACAATGATTTTCTTTTTACAGTCCTGTGTACTGGTCACAAACAATATTACAACTAAACTGGTATGAATTGGTTTTGTTTCCAGTATCCTGTGGTCTTGATCATATCTTTAAAGCAGTGTGTTTATGAGGAATTTCGTAAGGGCTACTCCAGTTTAAACCCAGTACAGTATGCTCATGGAATGTGGTGTCATGCGCATGAAAACATAAAAGTGGTCTAAAGCAATAAAGTGATGGTGATTTTTGGACATATGGAAAAAAGGAGATGCATATATATTCCTGTTAATATGTCTTCAGAGATTTCAACACAGCTTCAAGTTGGCCAACTTTTCCCCTTTCCCTTCTATTTCCTCAAATTCCTCAGTAGTTCATCATTTGCTGTCTTGCACTTCATATTTTCTCCCTCTGTTACTCTTTCTTCATGTTATTTTTCCCTCTTCTTTTTTCTGTCCTCCACCTTCAAGTTCCACATCTGAGCATGTCAATTGCAGAGTAAAAGGAAGATATAATAAAGGAATCAAGCAAAAGGCATTTGAGAAAAGGAAGGAGAGGGCCTGAGGTCATGGATGAAGTATGAAAATTAGACTTTAAAGGGATGTCACAAGTCACCATCTAAGACCTTGTCCTGACTCCCCAGTTAAGTATATATATGTATATATCTTTATGACAAAAAAAAGGTTTTAACCATTACCTAGTGAATTATGCATCATAGAGGAGTGAAAATTAAGTAAATTGAGTTTAAATTTTGCCTGGCTTCTATCTAGATGGGAATTTGAATTGCTAGCCAAGTTTACAACCAAATTTACCTTGTCTTTATGGCTTTTTTAACCCTGTAAGCTTCCAGCTCCTGTGTTTCCAGTTTGTTGCTTCATACGGTTGACTCAGCCAAGCTTTACATCTCTGACAGGGTGTTTAGAAGGCAGAATTATGTTTCCCTTGGAAATGACAGCAGATTTAATGTGCACAACTGTATTCTGGGAAGAATAACTTGATAGTGAATTGTGTAATATGCCATTTCTCTGGAGTGCTGTGCCTCCGGCCTCAGTTTGCAAAGGAGGAGGGGGGTCATTCTCAGTGTCCCCCCAGCAGGAAGCATGAAGCGGTGCTGGAGGGCCTGGTCTGGGGTGCTGGGCACCCCGGCGCTGTCAGCCCTGACCGGTGATGCTGACTGATGTTTGTTGGATGTGTTCAGGTCATTGAGCTGCGGCGGCCCATGGACTCGCGCCTGGAACACGTGGACTTTGAGTGCCTTTTCAAGTGCCTCAGCGTTCGTCAGATCATCAGGATCTTTGCTTCTCTCCTGTTGGAGCGGCGTGTGATCTTTGTAGCAGATAAGCTCAGGTAAGTGTCAAAGGGACCTGAGCCACATGTTCGGGACAGTACTATCTCTGGATACAAAAGCTTTATGAAATGTCCCGAATGGTTGTTAGATGTGAAGATCCTCTCACTGTAGGATTTAAATAATTTTTTACATCAGTGGAAATTATTTGCATCAGCTGGGGCACACATTGACTAGCAGTCACTAGCTATAAGCCACTTGTTCTGTCTTACCTTCCCATCTATAAAATGGTGATACCAATACTCACCTGCTTCATAGTCAGCACATGTTTGCACAGCATTTTGAGGCACTATAGTCCTAGCAATATTTCATTTCAGGTTTTGGAGCAGAGTACTCATAAACAGTAGCAGAGATTGTCATTGAGGTGCTTTACCTTGTGGCCATGCAGTACAGCCAGGCAGGGAAGTGGGGTGCTGAGAGTTCACCTGGTTTGCTCCATACAGGACAGAGTTTATAATGGGGCTAGGTTTCAAATCCTGCACTACCAAATCTATCCAGTGGGAGTGTTAAGAATGCTATTATGGTCCATCCCAACTCGTTAGGAAATTTTTCCTGGTGTTCATGTGACCTGAAAACAGTTCCTTTCTGAAGCTCCATCTTGGGCTCCTTGCTACATCCTTTCAACATACCTGTTACTTCCCTGCCCTTTGATTGCAGTCTTCCCTCCTTCACTCCTCTGAGGCATGAACACACCCAAAGCGTGAGAGCAACAGGTCACAACTTCACATGGTCTTTACCAAGGAAATGGGAGCTCTCTGTAGGCTGCACCCCTGCCCCACAGCAAAGAATCATCCCTTTTTTAGATGCTTGTGTAATCCATATAGAAAGGCATGAACACTTAAAGATGTTCTTTGCTGTGGCATGATAAATAATAATAGATGGCAAATAAAAATAAAGATCGTAATTTATTAGACTTGGGAACATCCAGCGTCTTCTAAAAGGACACAAAAGACTATATGGGTGGTTAAAAACACAGATGGATCTACCCAAACAAACTCTGTTAAACACTTTATCAGCCCCGACCTTCTCTGAATGACCGCCAGAAATAATAGCTGCACTTAGTGGCTGCCAGTGTATATAATAGCAAAAATACTTTGCATAGTAAAAGCTTTACAACCTTTAGGGGAGAATTTCTTAAAGCTGCAGACCCTTCTCAGGTTATAAAGTTACTTCCTTAGCAGTCTTTTTTGTTGTCTAGAACAACAGGAACATTTTATTTCATCCCTTCCCTTGTCAGTAACCCTTAGTTTGAAAGACCATTTGGGATGACTTAATTTCACATAAACTCCTGGTGAGAATTGTGTAGCTAGTCCAGGGTTTCTGCAGTACTTTAGTAGATATGTGAGTCACACCATGAATATTGGGGCAGGTGGCTCTTGAAAATACTGTTGGCGTGTTCCTTCTGACTCTTTTTCTACAGCATGCTTAATCACATTCTGCCTGTTTCTGTTTTACTGTTCATTTAGCAGAATTAGTGGCACCCACAAGTCTGACTGTAACTCAGAATGACACAGGTCTGCATTCCTTCAAATGGCACAATGATTTGAGTGGAAAATCACAGAAAAGGTGCAGAGAAAATGAGGGCTGTGCTGTGCTGCTGCCAACTGTTGCTCTGCTTTGGAGTTCCCAGTTACTCCTTTGTCCTGGTTTGGCAAAGTACCCTGAGCCTCGATCCATGGGCCGTGGGCACAATACTGCGGGGATGGCTTCTGCAGGAGGCATCCTCAGCTGTGAGGGCTGGGACAGAGAGCGTTCCCTGGAGCATTTCTCTGGGACAGCTGGCCTAGCCAACGTCATATAACGCTTCTGGTCACTGTTCAGAGAAAAGAAACAACAATTAAACCAACTTTGACAGGCTTAAGGCAGCTTAGCTTGGAAAACACTCATGCTGCTGATGCTGAGGGCTCATGGCAACCCAGGACTTCATCAGGCAACCACAATACACACTGCAAGCCTGATTGGAAGCTAACAGCTTTTCTCCTGATAGCTGCCTAGTCCTACGGGCCGCAGAGCAGAGCAGAGTCCCACTTCAGGCAAAGTACTGCTCTCTCTCCCTTTTGGCACACAGAAATAGGGCACCAGGACAACAGGAACCAGAAACATTAAAGAGCCCTTTCAGTAAACACATATCCAAACATTGCACACTCCTGCAAAAACTCTGCTCCAGCGAACTGTTGTTTCTGTTGTGAGAGGGAGCCATTGGGTTAGGGGCCATTAGCACATACTTTGAGAAAGGAGAGGATTCAGATGGATTCAAGAGGCTTATGAGGTTTTGTGGTTGCTCCTGTAAGAAGGACAGAACATTTCTTTCAAAAAGATTTATATTCATATTTATTATATCTGTATGTACCCTTTATTATATATATATACACACTTTGTTTTGTTTAAAAAGGGTATGACAAAATCTGATTTGGTAGATAAGGCTCTGGGTTAAGACCTGTGAATCCTGAGCTCTCTTGAACCCTCTGACCTGCTCTGTGATGCATGCTGGAAACGTAGCTCCTCTTTCTTATCTTTTGTCTGGTCTGTCTGGGATCCTAAATGCTACAGGACGGAGACCGCTTCTTGCTCTGTGTGCACGCAGCTCTGCTTGAATACAGTGTGGCCTCTCTCAGCATGGGGATCTAGGAGGAACTGTAAAATAGAAACTAATAATGAGTCCTTTGACAAAGGCCTGGCGAAAGTGACAGTGGATTTAAATTCAATACTTACTGAGGTTTTCATGGTTTAAATGGGGATGAAGTCTAAAATGAAACACTCTGGCTTTGAGCTAATAACTGTCTGTCTTGGAACCTTTGCCCTGTCTGATGTGAATTTTGTTTATGGGCATCACGGCTGAAACTGAAGGAGTTTACCAGTAATGTGGAAAAATAGACGTGAAATATCTTACAGGTCCAGTCTGTGGGCCCAAAGAATGAGAGCAGGAAATTAAAAAGCTTTTACAAGGGTTTGATTTCTGCATGTACCCAAAAAATAGCTTGGAAATAAATGATGTTGAGGTTTATGCTTCAAACAATGAGATGCAATGGGCTTTTGTGGCTGCCTGTTTAACAGGTCTCCAAGCAATAAATGATTTCACACATTATACAAGTTAGGGACAGTCATGCCTAGTGAAGTGAGATTCATTCAATAAATTGTTATTTATGGTTCTTATAGTACCCAGAATGTGAAAATTTACAGTTCTTGATCTTTGTGCAGAAGGGGGGTTGCCATTTTTCGACACAGAAAGTGATGCTACCAGCAATGAGGAAACAATAGTAAAGTTCTGAATGACAGGACTGTGAGGTTGCCTTGGTTAGATATGTGCAGTTAGGTTTGGGTTGTTTTTTTTTTTTTACCAATAAGTTGCTTATGTATATTTTTCTGCTTGGAAATGGGTGAATAAATCCCTGTGACTATTTGCTGACCTTCAAAACTTAATTTGAATCTGCCAGTGACCTTTCAGTATTTTGCTTTCCATGAACAGCTGAGAAGTCAACAGAGAAATAAAGATAACAGTAGAGAAACTTGGAAGAAGAATAATAATGATGATGATAATAATAATAACAACTCATAAAGAGGTAACTTAAAGTTCCAATTCCTTAAACATCTGCTGAAAGCACAGCTGAGGTGGTATGTCCCATCCCAGTTCCAATACCCAGCTGGGAGCCTCTATTTATGTTCCAGGCATTCTGCCTGTTCACCCCAACTCTGAAACCATCCTATGACTGCCAGCTGCAAAGGGAGAGCTGCTCAAGTGCAGTCCTCAGGCGTTTGCAAGGCTGGGCAGCAGATGCAAAATGAATAGGTTCTGGGGCTCAGGGAACGCTGGCGTTTCTGCAGGCACAAAGGTAGCAACAGAAAATAAATAGAAAGCAAACACTGGAAGAAAAATATTTCACTGCTTGTTTTAGTTTTATGCTGGGAAAACAAATTTGTGGACATATTTGCTGAGGAGGTGGGTGGTGTATCTATGCATGTGAGAGTCTCTTTGCCTTTTCCCCTGTATGTTTAGAGAAGGGGAAAGGAAGGCCTTGAGCATCTCAATGTCCCTTTGTTATAACCCCATTTTTTATAAATAAAAACCACTCTTGCTGTAATCCACTATATTGTGAAGGACTTGGAGCATATTTTGCTTACATTTCACATGTGGGTCCAGTTCAATGCCGGCCAGATTCAGTGTTTGTAAGAGGCTTGTCTTTTGCTGTGGATCTAAATCCTAGAATATTCCTTTCAGTGCCTTTCTGAAGCTTTAGGGGCTGTGAAAGGCTTCTATAGAGAGTCCCTGCTCTTGTAAAAGACAAAATAACTTCTCATTGTTGTAAATTTTGTTTTTATATGAGATATTTCAGCTACTTCTCAGTGAAGCAGGAGCACGGGCCTCAAGGAAAAAAAAATTCTCTGACAGCAGTGGGTTTTATGTTTTGAAACTGTATAGGTGAACTTGGAAACGTACCCCAAGGCGAAGGTGGGCCAGGGGTTTTTCTAAGCGGCAGTGCCAGCTCAGTCCCCCGTCCTGCTCCCCTTGTTTGCTCCTGTCCTGCGCCATTCTCCCTCACCCAGGAGGCTGTGCTGGCCCAGCTGCAGTAGGAATTACTCCTTTTGCAGAGCTTCTCCAAACCACATGGGCCTCTTGGCCATGTCACACCAGAAGCTCCTGGGCTGGGAGAGGGGCAGAGCAGGGTGCTGGGGATGGATGGGAGTGGGCAAGAGCACTGGGATGGGCAGACTTCAGGGTGGTGTTGCCACTGAAAGGTGTCTATCATGCACCATCCTTGGGTGTGAGCCAGCTGAACTTACAATATCTCATGAGATATTGTAAATAAACCCTCAAGTTCTTACCTGTATGCAGGGGAGATCTGAGGGAATGAGGCTGAGGCAATGCTGGATGACAGCGAACTTCAGTGCAGTTAAATCTCCTGCACATCAGTGTCATCCTCCCTTAGGCATGGCCACAGATGACTTTGTCTTTCCAAGGAGAGTTTTTTCCTTCTATGTTTCTCTTCCCCTCTGCCAGCACACG